AATTTAAAATCAAATGCCTTAAAAGTTTGGTGGCATTTTCAGCAAATTCAAGGGGCAGATTTTTAAGGTCCCATTCCCTATTTTTCCCCTCTTTTCTAAATTTCAAAACATATTCTTAACTGCTTCCCCCAAAAAATCAACCTGGTCAATGAGAAAAATTGCTTTTGTTCTTGTTTCCTAAATGTGACAGGTTATATGACCATATGCACTTTAAAAATAATCCCTAGTAGTTTTTAAATTTTTTAAAAATTTCCAAAAAATTGAACACCTCCCCGGGTATATCCCGATGTTGGTCGCAATGTTCGATGCAATGGTTTAAAAGCAACTAAAATTTTAAAAAAAGTTAAGACAAAATGGTCTAATTGATTTTTTACAAATGAATAAAAATTTAAAACAGGGGGTAAAGGTTTAAAAATTAATGTAATGAGGGGAAAAAATTTCATTCATAAACTTCTTTTATTTTTTTAACCAACTTCAACCTGAAAAAAAAAATTATTATTGAATTGACTGAAAAGATCTAATGGAAACTTGCAAAGCATGCCATGTATGCCTTTATGCTGACTATCATTTAGAACAAGAGCAGTCGAAAGAACAGCATGCTTGACTATTCTAAGTGCTTAATAGTAAAATAAGAGTCTGGATAAGGTACATGTAAGAATTAACAAAGAGGAAGATTTCAATCACAAAAATACAAATACATGTAATGTACATCACATAGTTATGAGTCTTGGATAATAAACAAAGAATTTTATTAACTTCCCAAAGGGCCTTATTTCAAATTCAACCAAAAAAAACATGCCATGTTATGGGTCTTAGAAAGTGACCAGGAATTGTGATTCAAAAAGCATGTATCAAGTTTTAAGCAAATACAATCAGTATTTTTATGAAAGATTAATGTTGGAACTATTGTGTATTTCTGTTATGAATATGGATAGTGATAAATAAATGTTATATCATAATAATTAGAGTTGTCATCAATTGAGACGATATTGATGTATTGTCAATATTTTTTCTGTTGATCAATATTCAATACACATATGAAAAACTCAATAATTTTGATAAATTATTCAAACGTCCATAAATTATGAAAATTCACCTGAAACGTATACAAAAGCCTAAACTGTCTAAAACTAAGCTTTTGTTACAGAATGGCAGTGATGACAAAAAATGGTCAGAAAAAAATCATCCAAAGGATATTTATAAACAGGACACAATATATTTGTATGAATAGAACATGTATTTTATTAAAATTATTTGAATGTGTTTGTGAAATTGTGTGTTTTAGTTTAATTTAAGCTCGGCACCGGAAATTCCATACGTTCGAGATCTCAGCGTCCATACCCGTCCACTCTAGAATCATTCGGGGACGTTTTTTTCATGCTGATCTTCCTAAACCTATTCTTGGTTCGTTGGTCCCAGGGGGTACAACAATTCTGCCATGGCATTGATCAGGTTTCTTGGCGGCACCAAGCAAAAACGGCTCGTTAGCGCCTCCCTCCTGAGTTAGTCACAACAGGTCAACCAATCCTCTCTGGTACTTGTGACGACTTGATTTTGACCTGCCATGTGTCTTCTCCACAGCATGCATGACTCATGATAGTCCAACTAATTAGATGTGTCAAAGAGACGAGATAATTTTGGACGGGCACTGTCTTTTTCCAATGGTTTGACAGTAAGAAAAAGTCTGTAACCGTTCAGGCCGAATTAACTAGACTAGACTCAGGAGCGGCGGCACGAAATACCCAAATATACCCAAATACACCCAAATATACCCAAATATAGCAATATTTATTTTTGTTTGTATAAAATATAGATTATAATGAGAAATAAATAAATATTTATAAAATAATATGACTTAGCCTGCTAAAGCTTTCATTCATTCCGTTGAAATGGGCAGTTTTAAAGATGTTGTAAGAAAATAAAGTTGTGACATTTGCTTATGGGTAAAGTCAAAAATAATGAGGCCAAACATTTAAAGGCTACCCAGACTAATATTTTAATAGATGTATATATTGTTATATGTGCTAAATATAGCATCTATCAGAGTTGTAAAATATGCCAAGTTTAAGGGACATCATGCTACAAGTGAAAATTTTGCAAGAAAAAAATTACCCAAAAATGTCAGGAGTGTGTAACACTTTTAGTGTGATATTTTAACACAAATGATGATTCTCTATTCCTGATACAAAAAACAGTTTCTTAAATGACAATTTTTGTTACTTATGTTATATATCTAATGCTCTTGCAATTGCTTTTTCTTATTTTTTTTGTAAAATGTAGGTATCCCACTTGGTTATCCAGTCACTAAAGTCAGTCGTTGTAAAATAAAATGTACTTTAAAAAATGCATGGTTTGTACTAACAGTAAAATTTCTGCTTATTTCTTTGTTATTAACAGCTTTTCCTTGCTTCTAACATTTTGACCATTGTATATAGTTAAGGATATAAATTCTCTTTTTTCTATGCTTTAAATGTTATTGACTCGGTTTCGATTTAAAATAATGACGGTGCTCAGTGTCAGGAGTGTAACATCTTGTACTTTTACTGATTTCCTTATTGCATACATGGTGTTATATAAATATATTCTTTCTTTTTCAGAAACATGAGTCCAAGTGATGTCAGCAGTGACATTAGTTCAAGTTAACTAAATCATGTACTTTCTGTACATGATCATAAGTGACGTCAGGAGTGTAACACTATTTTTGCATCTTTTAACCTTGTAACTATTTCATGAATATAACATGTAAATTTCATATCTAACAAGAACTGTCGGAGGACAGTAACGCTCGACTATTCGAAAATTTGTCACAAAGGTGTTTCATTGAGTATAATAATGCTTACCTATATGAATACATAAAATTGTCCGAAAAGGTACAAACTCTTCAAGTTTCAATACATTCCCTTCAGTAGTTATGGAGATACAAGCTTACATGCAAAAACTTAACCAAGAATTCATGAGTCGAAAAAGGGGCATAATTATGCAAAGAAGGAAATCAGAATTATGGGACTTGTACCAATCATCTTAGATAATCACAGAGACCAAGTGTGTGAAGTTTCAATCCATTCCCTTCAGTAGTTATGGAGATACCAGCTTACATGCAAAAACTTAACCAAGAATTTCAAAGTCGAAAAAGGGGCATAATTATGAAAAAAAGCAAATTAGAGTTATGGGACTTGTGCCAATCATCTTAGATAATCACAGAGAACAAGTGAGTGTGTGAAGTTTCAATCCATTCCCTTCAGTAGTTATGGAGATACCAGCTTACATACAAAAACTTAACCAAGAATTTCTAAGTCGAAAAAGGGGAATAATTATGAAAAAAAAGCAAATCAGAGTTATGGGACTTGTGCCAATCATCTTAGATAATCACAGAGAACAAGTGGTGTTGAAGTTTCAATCCATTCCCTTCAGTAGTTATGGAGATACCAGCTTACATACAAAAACTTAACCAAGAATTTCTAAGTCGAAAAAGGGGCATAATTATGAAAAAAAGCAAATCAGAGTTATGGGACTTGTGCCAATCATCTTAGATAATCACAGAGAACAAGTGTGTGAAGTTTCAATCCATTCCTTCAGTAGTTATGGAGATACCAGCTTACATACAAAAACTTAACCAAGAATTTCTAAGTCGAAAAAGGGGCATAATTATGAAAAAAAGCAAATCAGAGTTTATGGGACTTGTTGCCAATCATCTTAGATAATCACAGAGAACAAGTGTGTGAAGTTTCAATCCATTCCTTCAGTAGTTATGGAGATACCAGCTTACATACAAAAACTTAACCAAGAATTTCTAAGTCGAAAAGGTGGCATAATTATGAAAAAAAGCAAATCAGAAGTTATGGGACTTGTGCAATCATCTTAGATAATCACAGAGAACAAGTGTGTGAAGTTTCAATCCCATTCCCTTCAGTAGTTATGGAGATACCAGCTTACATACAAAAACTTAACCAAGAATTTCTAAGTCGAAAAAGGGGCATAATTATGAAAAAAGCAAATCAGAGTTATGGACTTGTGCCAATCATCTTAGATAATCACAAGAGAACAGTGTTGTGAAAAGTTTCAATCCATTCCCTTCAGTAGTTATGGAGATACAGCTTACATACAAAAACTTAACCACAGGGACGCCGACGCCGACGCCGACGCCGACGCCGACAAATGGGTGACTGCATTAGCTCGATTATTCTGCGAATAGTCGAGCTAAAAATGATTCTTGCCACTATTCATGAGGAAAGGTAATTTAGTAGTTTTTTTTTTTTTTAAAAACAATGCTTAAGTTCTGATATTAAGTATATTTACTTAAATAACATCAAAATTTCCTAAATGTCTACTATTGACAAGTATAATCATATAATCTAATGATAATACACTTAGTAAATTATTGAGAAATTAAAATAATGTATATACTTTTTGCAGAACAAAGCATTTATATACAGTTATTGAAGAATTTGTATGCAATATAAGTTAATATGTGAGAATAGTGAAAAGTGTTACACTCCTGACATTTTTTTTCTTTTTCAGCAATTGTAGTTAACTTTGTTTTATTTTCAGCAGTCTTATAAACAATTGAAGTAAGTATGAAAAAACTAAAAGTAAGCCTTCCTGCTATTGAAAGAGCTCTAAAATCACATGTTTCTACAAATATAACAAGACAAAAACAAGATGATGACAAGAAACAAACAAAGAAAAAAACAACAAAATCTTCAAAAGAACGGGTTCGTAAATACCGTGAAAAACTTAAAAATGACCCTGTCTATAAACAAAAGCTACTTGAATTAAAAGAAAAGAAAAAAACAGAGAACAAAGCATATAAATCTAAACAAAAATTGAAGAGAGAAAATGATGAGAATTTTGACAGAGAGTGTAAAGTAAAGCAAAGAAAGTGGACAAAAGACAGTAGGAAACGTAAAAGCAAAACACTAAACATTGAAACAGCAAACACAAATGGTCAGGTGAGGTACAGTTGTAAAAAGAAAGTTGATCAACATTCAACATTACGCAAAAGAGCTGAACGTGTTCGAAAGTCCTTGCCTGAAGATTCCAACTACTGGGCCAAAACAATGAGCCATATCATAAAACATGCTACACCTAAGAGGAGGTCCTTGCTTAATTTGAGTACATCTAGTCCAGGTACTGAAAATCTGCTAGAAACTCTTGAATTAAGAAGACAAGGAAGGCCTAACAAGGAACAGGCAGGTGCAAAAAAGAAGTTGGCTTTTTCAGAAAAAAGCACTTCACTCTGGAATAGCAAAAAATCACTAAATGAATACAAACGAAGAAAAAACAAACAAGCAAAAAGATTGTCAAAAACCACTCAATTTAAAAAATCATGGATGCCAAAACTACTAAGCTTCCTTGATGAACATTCAAGAACAATGCCAAACAAAAAGGACACCATTTTGATAGATGGCAGGCATGTTGCAAAGCGTCATCTGCTCTGTACAAAATTGGAATTGTTCAAGAGCTTTAAAGCTATTCATCCAGATTATAGCAGGAGATTCAGCACTTTTAAGAAAATGATTCCTAAGAATTTCAAACGGTTAGACTTGACATGCAGAAGAGTCTGTGTCTGCACAAAAGATTTCAATTTTGAACAAAAAGTTGAAGCATTGAATAAGATTGCCCAGCAGCAGTCAATGCCATTATTAAAAGCCACACCTAAACAGCTGTCAAACTTATCTCTGTGCCCATATGAAGACATCCCTAAAAGGTCATGTGTTGATAGGCAATGTGTCGATTGTGGAACTGCTATCGTTGTCAACACCTATGAACCACTTGTTCAGGCATGTGGAAACAGTGTTGTGGCAAAGTACTACCAATGGGAGTCCTCAAAAGAGTCGTATATTTCTAAAGATGGAGATAAAAAGCATACAACTCGCTGGATACAAGCTGAAAAGACCTGCAGTGTTGCAGATCTTGTACATGATATTGCTAAATCTCTTGAAAGTCATTCAAGCCATTTATTTAGAGCAAATTTCCAATATAAAATGGAAAGCCTACTTACTTCAGACCTTCCTCTGGACCACTGCTTGGTTGTTATGGACTTTTCAGAGAACATTTCCCTACAACCTCAAGATGAGATAGAATCAGCTCACTGGACTACAAAACAAGTTACATTACATCCGGTTTTTATAGTAAGACATGACCCACAAAGAAACTTGACATCAAGGTTATCTACCATTTCATGGAGTCTGGACATGGCAAAGGTCAAAGTGATGGCATTGGTGCTGGAATCAAAAGAAAACTGGAACGTCTCATTCTTGGAGGCAAAGTCATAAACAATGCCTACCAAGTATATCTTGCTCTTTCTCAAAATCCAAATGAGAAGATCAATCAAAAGATTATCTTCATGCCATACAAGAAAATCAAGATATCCGTACCAAAGATCAAACAAACTCTTAAGTCTCTGAAAGGAACTCATTCTTTTCATATGATTTCCCAGCATCACCCAAGTACAGATGTGCTCACCTGCTATGACCTGAGTTGTATATGTGTTGTCTGTACTGGTGGCCAACAGGGTCCCTGCTTGTATAGTCAGTACAGAAAAAATCCAAAACACTTTAGTTTGGCTACAGGTAAAACAATCCATGAAGAACAAATTTATCATGAACTTGATACAGTATCATCTGATCATTGTATCCTTGACAATTTCAATTCTTAAATCCTATAAAACTCATTTAAACAAGTATGCCAATTAGTATGATAAGATTTGACATTATTTCTAAATGGTAACCAAGTCAATAACAATAAAGACATACAGTAATTTTTTTTTTCATCTATGATAATTACTGTTAATTCTGCAATCATTTTTGTTATCACATTTTTTGCATGCAGTTCCTACATATTCAATTTTCAGTTTTGCTTGCTTCTCTGCTTTGCTTTTTGTAGTCCTTAGTCTTTTATTTTAACCGTTTGAATTTTGCTAAAACACTGCATTTTTGCTCCGCTTTTGCTTTATACCTATCCTTAATAAAGTAGTAGCTAGTAATACTAACCATTGTGAGAGAGAGACTAACCTGAGAGGTGTGCTTACAGAAAGCATTGAGTCTTATAACAACTCAACAGAGCATACAAATGAAACTCTAAGTGAATTTGAAAATAAAATTCGCAGAAAAGGTTGGGAGATTCGAGGTACTACTCCTGATGACGGCAATTGTTTCTTTTGGGCCATCAGTGATCAGTTAGATGCCCTGGGGATGACTGAACATACTCACACGCAGTTGAGAAGCAAAGTAATTCATCACATGCAAAATTTATCAGAGGTATTTATTATAAAGCTTAGTTTTAAAGTCATGCCTGAAATTCATTTAATTATTAAATTTTTAATTTAAAAAACTTGTAATTTTATATTTTTAAATCAAAGATTCAAAAAAGATACAATTTACAATTTTATTTTTCAGACTGACAAATTGGAATTAGAGCAGTTCTTGACAAGTGACTTAACCAAATATATTGAAAAAATGTCAAAGAATGGAACCTATGCAGACCATGTGTGTTTACAGAATATGTGCAAAGCCCTGTCTTGCAAGATAGATGTTGTTCATGGGGATACTCCTAACATAAGCATTGGAGATGGAGACAGTAACATACCAACACTTGTCGTTGGTTACATTCCAGAAATTGAGCATTATGTTAGCTTGCAGCGGTTAAATAGGTAAGACAAAATAAATATCTTATATAAAAGGATAAATTTAAGCATGTTTCTGTTCTTTGTCAGAAGAATTTTACCAATAATTATAGATGTGTATCTTTTAAAGACACAGTATAAACCTTTTAATTATCATATTGCAGATTTAACCCTGAAGATTTTGTAGCTGTAGCTCTCAAGTCAAACAGAAAAACATATCTGTACATTGCTAAGGTGGGTTATTGTTGTTTTTGTATACTTTTCATTAGTTTCCTCAGTAACTTTATGACGGAATTTTAGAATTTGAAATGAAATTGTTTTCTTTGACCAAATAAACTCATTTAAATTATATTAACTACTTATTGAATAGGTAATATCACAGGCAGATGATGACATCCAAGTTAGGTTCCTTAAAGCAAGCGGAGGTGCTGACGAGTACAGTTGGCCAGCCAAAGAGGATGTGTCCTGGCAGTCTTTGGAAGATATTGTTCAGAAGCTCAAAATGCCAATTCTTCTTCCTGGCCGCGGAATCAGGCTTAAATTTAACCTGAATGACTTAAAATCCAAGAAATCATATATTTTCAAATAAACAGTGTCAAGTGCACATCTTGTGTCAGGAGTGTAACACAGTTTGAACAGTTCATGTTAATGTTTGTAGTTTAAATTTGTAGTTACTTTTTATCCTTTTATTTAAGTAAATGTCCTCTTAAACCAGTATGGTAATGAACAGGGGTAGAAAGCAAGTAGAACATTGTCATATATACAAAAAAATATCTTTACACTCAGATGGTTAACATTTATATATAGTAAAGATTTATAAAAGGTCACTTATATTTTATCAAAGTGTTTTTAAAAAGGCAAGACAAACAAAAAGGAACAATTAACATAGAAAACTTAATACTTGTCTTAAGTATTTCATTGTAAAAGTTTTTAAATCAATATTTTAAGATATTAAGTGTCTTGCCTGAATTTGTCAGGAGTGTAACACTCAAATGTTAAAGTGTTACTGTGATTTTTTTTGTGTGAAATAGATTCTTCATGGTACAAATCATTTTCATATTTTCCTAATGGTTAGGAACAGAAGCTTAATTAAAGTTTATAACCTTTATTTCCATTTATTTTCTAATTGTTTACTTGTTAGAAACTTGTTTGCGGTTTTAAGTGTAACTTCATATCTTTCCTCTAAGAATTATTCTCAAATTTAATAACCTATCAGTATGTTTTCAAACATAAGTGTTGTTCTGTACATGTCTTTCTTATGTTATTGTTACCTCCAATGTTTCTGTAAAGAACTATTATCATTTAAACAACTTATGCTAGTCATGTCAGGAGTGTAACGCTTTTATGTAAAATCAAAGTTAAATTTGACTGCATATTATTTTTTTTTGAAAGGTTGAAATATTTGGAAACTTTATTTTACATCAAAGTATTTATTAATACATACTAACAACTACTTTTTTATTTCTCTGCCCAATTTTCTCCAGCTATAGAAAAACATGATGTACTTACATTAAAGAAAATCAGACTTTTGTAACACAACAATAGCATTTTTTTTCTGTTGTAAAACTTCTGGTAAAAAAAAATGGTGTATTTCTTATCCTAACATCACTACTGTTACTAACATATAACAAAACATATGATTTAATTAACATTGGGAAGTATAGTGACACAATTTTATAAAGCATTGGTTTTGTTAATTTTTGTTAATAAGTTGAAATAAAATGTTGATTTATACAATTTGTGTTGTGTTAGATAAAATCCAATTACTCGGCATTAAACATCAATCAATATCACATGGTTTTAGGTGAAAAATAAAATGAAATATAAATTTTCAATTTTGACCCTATTTTCAAATTTTTGCCTCATTATTTTTGACTTTACCCTTATCTACAATATAGGTTCTTTATGAATGTACTTGCAATTTTAATTCAAGATATGATATTTGTTGTCTACATTTTTAAGGTGTAGTTTTGTTGAAATAACATATCATATACAAATGTCCATGTTATTAAAAAATAGCTTTAATGGAGTACATATACTGTATTTTGGTTCAAAACACAATGATAGGAAAATGTATATTTGGGTATGTTTGATTATATCTTAGTGAAAGTGTATATTGTATTCATGATTAAAACAGCACTTTTTTAGTATAAAACATTTATTTTTAGTATAATTCGGCAATATTTGGGTATATTTAGGCAATATTTGGGTATATTTGGGCAATATTTTGTATATTTGGGTGTATTTGGGTATATTTGGGTATTTCGTGCTGCCCCTCAGGAGGGATCTAGAGACCATTTAAACTGGTAAGGAAAGTTAATTATATACAAGAAATATGGGGTAATTATCGATTTACTGGTTTATCGTCGATATTTCTCATCAGATATCGATCTATCGTCAAATTATACACTTTGCACTGAATCAATGATAGCTCTAAATAATTTACAGGAGATTGACAACATTATCAGGTCTAGGATTTCATGATATTTACGGACAGTCTGTAAATTTTTGGACGATCCATAATTTTACAGATTTTCTTGTCTGTAAATTTACAGACAATAAGTAAGAAAATAGTAGAAGTTGCATTAAAATTTAAAACCGCAGGTTAAAATGAATAAGGTTAGGTATTATATGATTAAATGTAACAGTATGCTAAGATTCAGAACAGTTTGATGACTTTCAATTTTCACTTTTAACAAAAATTTCAAAATCATCATACAAAGATGAAACTCACCCCATTACCTTTGTAAATATAAACAATCAATAAAACAACTTGTCTTAAGCTGCGGATTTTATTGTAAAACTAATAACAGCAAATTTCACATTGAATATCTGTTAATTCATGGATTGAAAAATCTTTTAATTTGTATACTGTCTATAAATTTACGGACAGTCCATAAATATCATGAAATCCTAGACCTGATTATTTACAGTTGAAGAACAAATAGGCAAATTACGTAGATCTACTACGAAATATGCTTTAAAAACACTTACAACATATTTTCCACATTTTGGACACAATTATCTACATCATCAAATTGTCCTTCAATCACATCCATTGTCAAACAATTCTTAATTACAAGATAAAATTAATGCGAACGTCAAATTTCACAACAGGTCGCGAATTCTAATGTCAACTGCATACCAATGTGCTTCCGGTAAAGAAAATACGAAATGAATGTTATAACCGAAAAGGAAAAAAATAAATATATTTTGGGTTAATAACACTGTTGAACTGATGAGAAATTTACAAAAAGTAGTTATTTATCTTTTAGCAATAATTATAGCAAATTTATTAAAATATATTTTATATTGACATTGACAATATTGTTGAATGATAGTCAGTCATTAATACAATGGTTTTCGGACAATAATATGAAAACAAACCCCGACAAATTCCAGGCTATTGCTATTGGTAAAAAAACTAGGGATCAAAATATAAGTTTCAATTTAAAGGATAGTACAATCCAATGTCATGAATCTGTTAAACTTCTAGGGGTAACTTTTGACTTTAAACTCAAATTTGATAAACATATTTCAGACATTTGTAAAAAAAAAGCCTCAAAACAACTTAACGTGCTAAAGAGAATAGGTAAAAATATATGTAAATTGGGGAAATTAAACATATATTACTCTTTTATACTATCAAACTTTAATTACTGCCCTCTCGCCTGGCACTTCTGTGGAGAAAAGTACACAAAAAACTAGAGAAAATTCAAGAAAGAGCATTAAGATTCATTTATGATGACTATCAATCAGACTACGACTCACTTTTAATAAAATCTAAGCTACCAAATTTAAAATTAAGACGAATCAGAACTACATGTATAGCCCTCGAAATTCATAAAATTATTCATAAACAAGGACCAACATACTTACATGATCTTGTTAATATTTTAATTTTAGGTATAAAAATATAGCCATTATCCCTCAGGTAAGAACCACCAGTTATGGCAGCTGAACTATTTTCGTTCCTATGCACCTAAACTATGGAATTCACTTCCCCAACACCTCAGACTGGAAGTGAATTATGACCAATTTAAAAGTCTAATTGGTGCATGGAATGGAGAGAGTTGCTCATGTACTTTCTGTCAATAAACCTGCATTATAGTTTAGCTCCATCTTCAGTTTTGTTTATTGCCTGCTTTCTTTTGTTTTGCTGCTTACCTACATGTATCTTTAAAGTTGCTTATTTCACATTTGGCTTAAATTTTGTTAATATTCTCAACATAAAAGTTTATGTACATGTATTATTTTTCCAGTGTGCTTGAATTTTGTTTGCTTATTGCCAGCTTGTGAGGAGGCTGCTGATCACTTCTTGCCAATTTTGAGTTGGGGATTTTTATTTTTAAAACCTAATTAGTGGTCACACTTTTGTGATCCTTTTCATTTTCAATATCTTATTTTCTTTCTTTTATAGGCCCTATTTGATCGACCATTCATGTGAAGTTTTGTCAAAATCCTTCCTGTGGTTAAGGAAGAGCAGTTGTTTTAAGATATTGTGGACAATGAATAATGGACACGGTGAGCTAGCAGGAGCCAACATCAAGCGGAGGCCACTTTCAACCTTTTCCTTCCCATCAGAGGAAGAATATTGTAGTAAAGAATACTCCTGGAACATATAACTTTCTTGTACAAAATATTTTCATATTTGACCTTGATGGTCAAGGTCATTCGAAGGTCAAAGTCACATTTGAATTAATCACCATGTTAGTTTTGTAATAAGTGTTCTTTTGTCGATGAATAAATAAAATCTATAAATGAATAACAAGGTCATGACAATTTAAACAAATATTAATAATTTGAATAATTTGACCTTGACAGTAAATTTAATGTCAATTAAAGGTAAAAGTCAAATCAGAATATTTAAACATGTCAGTCTTGTCAAATGTGTTTGTTTGTCCAAGTATAAATCAAACTGGAAATGTTAAAAAAGTGTTATGACAATTTAAGCAAATTCCAATAATTTGACCCTGGATGTAAGTCAAATAAAGGACAAGGTCATATTTCAATTAGTAAACATTCAAGTTTTGTCAAAGGGGTTCTTTTTTCCAAGTATAGGTCAAATCTGTAAATAACAAGCAATTAAAGCTGAATTCAATATTTGACCTTGTCAAAATCATTTATAGGTCATTCTGGTCATGGTCATATCTGAATAACTAAATTACACTTCTCTTTTGTCCAAGTAATTAAATCAAATCCAAAAATAAATAATGTAGCCAGTTGTAGCAAAATTTACTAATTCGACCTTTGGTGTCAGTGTCAAATTAAGGCCAAGGTCAAGTGCAATTAAATCTTTTTTAATCTCTTATCCAAAGGCTTAAATCTTGCCCAAAAAGGATGACAATCAATGTATAACTAACAAACTTACTGCTATTAAATTTAGAAGCACTTATTACGTTATTGCATTAAGGTGACGAGCCAATTGTAGGAAAATGACTATAATATAACCTTCAATGTCAAGTTATTCATGTGTCAAGGCCAAATTAAGTTTGATCTCATTAAAAGAGATTGTCCTTAATGTAGATATGCTTAAGTATAAAGACAATTTATTCATAGATAACAGTTAAAGCTTATTATAGCAAAACTCAAGAAAAAATCAATAATTTGATTTTCAAGGTCAAGGCCATTGATGAACCCATAATCAATTTGGTCTACATTAAGGCCTTATTCAAAAGATTGTAGTGTCTACCTATGATGACATATATTCATAAATAACAAAGATATAGCCAATTATTGCAAATATCAAGTAAAATTCAAACGTTTGACCTTGAAGGTCATGCCATTTTTGAGTCAAGGTCAAGATCAATTTTATCTACTTGAAAGTTTTGTCCAAAGGGTTGTTGTGTCTAAGTATGAAGATAATCCATTAGGTGTTAACAAGAGGTCCATTATGATCCTATATCTATCACCTGAGTATAAAAGCTCAAAATAACAGAGGATTGATGATACTGATAGGCATTTTGTTGAAATCCAGGTCACTGATATCAAAGTTCAAACTTTGTGTGTAACAATGTATGTAGTAGTAATTTCATACAAGAAGTTCTTATTACAAAAAGTATGTCGCTGGGCCAAATTCTAGGTCAACTTAATCAAAGCTGAATCTGTATCTTTTAATGCTGTAACTTTCAATACAAAAGTAGGTCACTCGGTAAAAAGCTAGTACTTAAAGCTTCTGTATCTATATATATAAGAAAATCCATGACCAACCCAGAGCGAGGCTAATTTAGTTTAAACATAGTTTATTTCAAACAATAAATACAACATGTTAATTGTTCAAAATCTAAGTTAACAGAAGATAAACAAGATAATGATTGCATAAATAGAGAAAGAAATTTGTGAAAATTCATTCATGTAGGTCAATTTGGCAAATTATTTCGTGAAACTAAGCTCATGGAAATCGTTTCCTTTCACGTATGTTTACCTGAACTGCTTGAAAATCTTTAGAATTAATGTCATGGCTAAGATTATGGTCACCCTTTAGTAAGATAATTGGAATTATAGTACAGAGGATAAAAATATCATTAACCTTTTCCCTTATTGTAGAATTATGTACTTGTAATTCATTTATGTTATCACTATAGCAAGTCTATACTTCCCATGATTCTCTGTAACATGTATTCCCGCCTAAATTTATGCAGCTACAGCGCACTTGGAATTAGTAAATTAAACAGTCAAGACAGACTTTGTGTTAGTTGTTTATACAATGACTTAGATGTCATTATAATATTATAGACTATTGTCTATACAAAGTACCAAATATTACATGGTGTCAGAAGTAATTTGGACATAAACAATACTATGTTTTTAATATATATTGGATTAAATACTGTTCAATATTTGTTTATGATGGATAATTAATTATGGACTAATTAATTAACTAA